GTATTCTATGAGAGAGAAAGGGGGCATGGAGGGGAGAGGAGAGAGATGGACAGGAACAGTAAGGAAATGGTTTTAGAATTCCTGTACTACAGCCACAATACATGTAAGGGTTGCTGAGGGGAACCAGTAGCAGTGAGGAGAGAGAGCAAGGTTACTTGGACTGAGAGAATTTTGATAGCTTAGGGGAACATGTCTGAATACATAACATATAAAAACACATTTCAAGACAAGCCTGAAAAATTTAGTCAATACTGCGAATACATCAGAGCTTTCAGAAAAAAAAAAAAAAAAACAGAGATGGGGGTCCAAAAAAAAGTAGGGTGTGTGGTGATTGCTTCACAGAGGGACCAATTTGCAATCCTTCAGGCCACCTAATGAGAACTGGGGAGTACGGAGAATAACGGTAGCAGTGGCATTCCTAAATTGTTTTATATTATCCATTCACTTTATTTTAATTTATTTGAGAAGTCAAATTTCCACCAAACAGCTAAAGATTAGTGTTTGGTTGTGACCTTGAAGGTGGATAGTACTTCCACAAACCTTCATTTTTAAGACCAGATGTGAAATCAGGATATAGGATAAGTTCTGTATAATGGGCAACGACTGGAAACCTCAGTTGAGAACTAAAATTATACAGACTAGTTAAAGGAACAACCAAAAGTTTACCCAAAATGTCCAGGGTTTTGATCTAGAGGGAGTAATAGGCTCATTGGTTTTCGGTCTACTAGCAATGGCTAAGGCTCATGAAACATTTTCACAGGGCTTGAAACGCTGCTAAGAACCTTTGATGTTTCATCCCACTAAACTTCCACTTCCTGTGTGGAAGTTACTGATGCTTCCAAAATGACTTCTTCCAAACCATGAAGCTGGGTTGAGTGCAGGGATCAACCTAAAAGTTCCTTTTCCTACGAAGAAGGCCAACAGGATGGCATGTCTCATTTATTTCACCCCTCCCCAACTTTAACCAAGTTAATTAAATGTTCTGAACTCGATACCCGCAGTACAGACCGGCACGTATGTTTAATCAGCCCTCTTTCTGCTTTCCTCTTCCGGATCTGGCTGCCAGCACCGGAAGTGGGAGTGACGCTACAGGGCAGATGGGTGCAGAAGGAGCAGAATCTCATTGTGGCTGCATTTTGCTGGGAACTGCACAGCGACGTGGTCTTGCGGGATCCCACCTACTGAGGGAGCCTCAGCACCAAGCTCTACACACTTGGCAAGTCCCTACCACAAGGCAGGCTTCTGGAATGGCCAAAAGGCATGGTGAAGCTAAGGCAGTTCATGGTTGTCAGTAATAATAGACACTGGTGCTTGTGCTACAGATCATCCTAGGTGCTTTGCTGGTGTCACTTCATCTGGCAGAACGCAGAATGGTAGTATTATGGCCACTCTTTCCCCTGGAAAACACAGGTTCTATGTGTACACCACATGGTCCTCTGTATCTCTCTCCAGAATCATTCCCCAGAAAATGTTTCCCGGATGAATTCTGAGCCATATACATGTTTCCTAAGAATGTAGCTGGCACTGGCTAGGTCTGCTGACAAGGCTCCCAGAGTATGTCTGTTAGATGTTTGGGACAGTCCTGAGAAGACAGAGCAGACAACACAGTTTTGCTACCTGCCTAAGAGGAGCAAGGAAAAGCAAGATGCTTTGAGCAGTGGGTGGTCAACCTAACTTACGGGGTTGTCTCTGCACTGCCTAGGGAAGAGACTAACGACCCGACACGCTGAACTAGTCACAGAGCTGGCATGAGGGGAGCTTTAAGGATATGCATCACTGACTTCCCGGGTCCTCTATTTTGAATAAAAGCATTATAATTATTTGTGATTCTTATATCTTTTACCAAAAATTGGCATATTGATGAAGTCATTTCTTTTCCCTTAATTATGGGACAATGTAGGGACAGGGTGTGTGTGTGTGTGTGTGTGTGTGTGTGTGTGTGAGAGAGAGAGAGAGAGAGAGAGAGACAGAGACAGAGACAGAGACAGAGACAGAGAGACAGAGGAGAAAATAGAGAGTGAACTGGCCAGGTGACTTTGTAATTAGCAGACACAAGCCCAGAAACACTGCCTCCCACCCTCACCCTTTTACCTGCCACCTCTTGCCTCCTTATCCCCTCATCTCACCAACACCCAACCCCCTCCAAGATTGACTTTTATGTATTCTTTCTTTACAAAATCGAAAGGAATCTTGGGGCTGGGATGGAGGATGGAGCTTAGGTGGGAAAGTGTCTGAAGCCTCAGATTTGATCTTCAGAACCACATGAGACAGATTTGGTAGTGCAGACCTGGAATCCCAGAACCCAGAAGATGGATGCAGTCACCCACATCTTCTGAGGGAGTACAAAGCCAGCCTAGACTCTGTGTGATGACGTCACAAAACAAAACTGTGCCATCCAAAGCACAATCACTTGCCAGAGTTGTTATACAGCTATTTTTTTTTTCATTTCTATTAGAGTAGATCCCAGTACAGCAGAGAGCATTTGAAAATGACTACGGATCAAGTTCACCCGGCACTGCAAAGTTGAAAGAGCTGGGTCCAGGCGCGTTAGACCACCCATTCCACTTGATGAGCTAACATTTCCCTAAATGTCTATCCACTTGTTCACTCACTCAGCATATTACTACACACCGGCCACAGCATGCGCGTTCTTGCCGCAACCTGAGAACTCAGCTCTCAGCAAAACTTCCACCTAGAGTTAGCATTAGAGTAGAGGGAGCAGACAAAATGTAACTAAGCAAACACAGATTCGGGGCCTGGGATAGCTCATGAGGATATTCATAACTGCGAGGGTCCTCTGACAGCACAGATGAGGATGGGAATACGCTATTCTAGGAACGATTATAAATCACCTAGGGATATTTCTTACTGTTTAGCATGCATAATTGGGGAATTTTTCCTACAAATAAAAAAAATCTATTAGGTAAGCCTTATTTTCCTACCAGTAATGCAAAGAATTCTGTTCTCTGCCTGTCATGGAAGGAAAAACCCTCAGCTTTGTGCTCAGGGACAGACAGCCATCTTCCCAGGCTGGCATATCGCGCCTGCATCCACAAGGGGCTAAGACGGCAGTGCTCGGGAGCACCACATAAACAGCATGTCAGATGTTCTAGGCAAGTTTCATCTTCGATGTATCCCAGTCCTGGGCTGTCAATCAGCTGTCACCGCTCCGCACATCAGCCGGGTGCGTACATCACCAGGCTGTCAGCGAGTCTGCTGATGAGACTCGGCTCCAGCCCGTCAATCATCCTTGTTTCTCTTCTCCACTCGGGAAATATTTTGGCTCAGAGAAACAAAGAAACCTGGGCAATGATGGTTCACAGTCAAGCATTTCCTCCTGTGCATGGACACAGACTTTTCAGGAGCACGGATTCTGCCTCACCTGCCATGATACCTGGGAACAAGGTGCACAGAGGGAAGAGCAAGAATCTGTTTCGTTGGTGCAGGCTTAACACGGCAATTCTAGTTAATTCTTTGAGTGGGCCCCTAAGGATTCTCCAATTGGCAATGTCCAGAAAAGTAAAATAGTGATAACTTGAAATTATCTGAGCTCTACCTCAGAAAATAAGCAGATAACTGAATGAATAAACAGGTCAGCTCAGAGGGCGGTGCCTGCTTGGGTAAAAGAGTTGCTGCACGGCTGAGCTCATTCAGTTCCCCACAGCTTCTGCAATGCTGCTCTAGGGCCTGTGGTGGCTTGGGACACTCACAGGGGACAGGTAGCGGTGCTATGAAGTGGGAATTCCAGTGCTGGCATCAAACACTTCAACCATTGGCTGGCATACCAATCCTCTCTTTCAAATGAGTCCACAACACCAAACATCCTAAATAGAAACCCCTAGAACAAGTTACCACGGGCTAACAAACCCTTCATGGAAGACTCCCCATTGCTGACCCACAAAGTCACTACACGTATATGTTAGCACGATAAGTTAATTTATCACACGATAGATCCAGACAGTACTAGATTCTCTAAAGCATCCATATGTTAAAAACGAAGATGCATTATTCCCTAGTGACTTTTGAACTTATTCAACCAGTATCAGTGTTCTGAACCATGTTTATCATGAGCCTATCACCTGTCAATTGTTCTGAACAGACTGCTTCAAGTTGAGTAAATCCCATCATCCTCATCATCATCATCATCATCATCATCATTGTCATTGTCATCATTATCATCATCATCATCATCATCATCATCAACTGGGTTTGTGGCATGGGGCCACTTTCCCCCTGACAGGTCCTTTCCTGTGAGTAAGGCTGATTCTGAAAGCGTGTCGCTCTCTGATCTGAGTGGACATTAATTGCTTTTGTGTCGATGTATCTACGGCTCCTGGTCTGATAGTACAACCAGCAAATCTGATGACTGACAAGTTGGCTGAACCTAATCAGGACAGATCAGCTGTTACCCAAGGTGCCACCGGCTATAATTTTGGGATCTTTACAGAGTTATCACTCGCCAGAAAGACAAGGAACTATAATTCTGTCAACACTAATCCCAAACTGTATGTTCAAAGCAGCTGTGGCTTTCCCTGTGCGCGAGAAAAGATAGCACTTGTCAAATAAATACTTGAGATCGCAGATAAGCGGGGATTAGAGGATGGGGCTGGTCCTGTGACGGTGAGTTTTTTTTTTTTTTTTTTTTTTTTAAGGAAACTTTCACAAGCAGAAGCATGAACCCTAAGGGATAAAAGGGAATCGCAGACAAGACACATGCCCAACCCGCATCCTTCTGCTGCCCACTTACTGGGCAATTGGGTGCATCTCCGTTCCACTCTCTAAATCAGCAAGTGACCAAACAGTCTAAGCCTCAGATGGAAAAGTTACAGTGGTGAGTGGGGCTGCTATTCAGTAGCAGTGCCTTGGAGGGAAGCAGGCACATTGTCGAGGCAGGGGTGTTATTGTCAAGGTGTCAGATCAGGGTGTCATCCTCGGACCCCCGTGGTTCCCGTACAGTCACAAAAATAAGGAGATATTAAGAAAATAAACTTCTTCCTTACTGTATCGCTTTGGTCCATCTTCCAAACAAAATGAAAGAGTTAATGTGGCATCATCTTCGAAAAATTCCGTGGCAAAGGCATCCCACCAGAGGTTGTCGCTGTCCTGCAAAGAGACAGGTAGGTCATTTACTTAACGAGCAAAGGCAAAAAAGCTTCAAATACCTCAAAGAGGGCAAGATAAAAGGGCCTGGGGATAACCAATGAAACAAACCACCACCAACAACAACTGTGGCTCGCTACTTAGAATATGCGGTGGGGAGGCTTGGGAGGGAGTGGGTAGTGTGTGGTCACTTTTAAAGTTAATTGCTTCAAATGGGGATCAAATTCCAGTTCACTAGACAAACTAACACCAAATCAACCAACTAAAAATTAATTCTTGAGGACATATTTAGAGATTCTTAAAAAGTGCTTTGAAATGCAATTGCTGTGTATTTATTTATGAAGGGGTGGTTATTTGATATGAGTACATTTAAAATTGTAGCTTTAGGACTTTTTTGGGTGTTTGCTTTTTGTTGTCTGCTGTCTTGAGTCTATTTTTACCTATATCGCAACCAGGACAAGAATTGTCATTTTTCTTTTTTAATGATTTGATCAAATAAGGACTTCCACAGTTTACTTTTTATACAATGATATCACTGTAACAGACAGTCATTGCATCAGTCACACACACACACACACACACACACACACACACACACACCAATGCAGAAGCAATTGTCTTATGCCTGTGGGTTTTCTTGAAGAATTTTTTTAGTGGGGGGGGGCAGTTAAGACACTGTAGACCAGGTTGGCCTCAAACTCACAGAGATCCACCTGCCTCTGCTTCCTGAGGGTTGGGATTAAAGGCGCAAAGGCATGCACCACCACACCTGGTAAAGTTTTCTTTTTTGAAATTTTCTATGATTTATTTATCTTTATTTTATGTGCATTGGTGTGAAGGTGTCAGATCCCCTGGAACTTGATTTTCAGACAGTTGTGAGCTTCCATGTGGGTGCTGGGAATTGAACCCGGGTCTTCTGGAAGAGCAGTGCTCTTAACTGCTGAGCCATTTCTCCAGCCCCTAAAGTTTTTTTTTAAGGGAATAACTCTCTTGTTATTAAAATAATTGTGAAGAATAGAAAAGTCCAGGAATGCAGGATCTCCAGTCAGTATGTCTTTTCTTGAGTGATCCCCTTGTTCATCTAGAAAACGCTTTAGGAAGGATGTACGTAACTGAGGGACATTCAAATTGCTCATCCCCAAGAGACGAAGGGACCCACAGCAGATGCTGAGGTGAGTCCAGGTTAGCGTTCAATTTACCCCCAAATTCTTAAGCAAATTTCTTCTCCAGAGATTGTGTGCTTTGGTGCCAGACTGGAGGGAAGATGGCTCCCAGCTGCCTGTCAGAGGAGTGGGGCGTCAGGAGGGTCCCCCACGTCTGGGACCCTGGCAGACTCTGCAACCGCCCTGCTGACCATTAAGCTGTCCTGCTTATGACAACTTTAAGTTGTCATCACTGGAAAACCTCAGGAATGAGCCTTCATTCCTTCCAAGAACAATTAAGAAGCCTGGGGAGATTGATGTCGCCCTCTCCTGCAGAACGGAAGAGGTTCAGACAAGTGAATTTCTCTGTCTCCTTCCTCTGAATTCCACTTAATAGCCACATTAAGGCCAACGCCTTCCTTCAGAAAACACAACAGTAAATACAAAATCCCACGCTGGTCTCCTTTCTAAAACATTTTAGTGCTAATTTGCTGTGTTCAGTACCATAGAACATGCATCCGAGTAAGGAACGAGTTCTGTTCTCACAGTTCACTATCAGAACATCAAACGAGCAATGTAAAGACATCCTTGACTGTTTCTGAGACCCCCTTACTTCAAGATATAAACTGTGGAAGTTTCTAGAGCATTTAGAAAAGCACATGAGTTTGGAAGTAGAGAAATCAGTTTGGGGAATAAACCGCATCTGGAATGCTGAACTCAGTAGTTTGTCAGACTTTAAATAACAAAATTAATTAATTAATATTTTTTTTTGGAAATTACCCCTTAATGGTTTTCATCACCCGCCAAAAGCTATTCTGCTTTTTATGTGTTTTTCAATGTAATCCAGAAATCTCTTGTTTTTGCTTTACTTTTGCTTTCCTCCTCAACACAGGGACTAGCTTCTTGCCACCAGGAGCTTTGATTCTGTCTTGCATCCTCCAGTCTTCAGAATGGTGTCAGGTCCATGGTATTATCAACAGAAATGATTCCATGAATAAATGTAGCTACTTGTACTATTTTCTGAGCTTTGTAACAACAGAAACTAAACCTTCGGTGGGAAATGTAACTTACCAGGTAAGCTCACTCATCAAAAGGTAGTAAGGGGACTTAGAGCATGGGATGTCTGGCTTTCTGTCCTCTCTGCTCTGCTGCAGCCCTGTGCCACGCCTCCCTAGCTGTCCTCCTTAGGGATGGGGAAATGAGGTACTAAGAAGAGAGAGGGAGAAACAGCAGGACCACTCTGCTTCAGGCCCACTTGTTTCTCAAGATCTCTGCTTTGTAGTACTGATTTGCTGCCAGAACTCACGCTCAGGTTTGCTAGGGACTACGTCACTGGTGGCATTTCCTCCTGTGGACCGTCTTTGGACAAGCCTATGTCGGAGGCTTCCTAGCTATTAGAACCCAGATGCTTAAACTACTTCTTTGAAAACTGCAAATAACCCCAAGACCTGAGTGGAAACTAGAAAACCACCTTTTTTGCCTCGCTCGTTAGTTGGGCGTCCATAGACTGGATCGGGTCTCCACACCCATCCTCCTACAATCTCACTCTTGGTCTCTGAGACATCAGCTGCAGAAAGGATCAGGACGAGAGAAAAACTAAGACGGAGCCCAGGCTGACACGGGATTGTTGGGAGAAAAAGGATATACTTGGGCTAGAAGAAGCTTGAGGACTGTTTGTGCAAAGCCTTACATTTTCTCAAGAAAGCTTCCATGAGAGTGAGCAGAAGTTACAGCAGGCATGTGATTCGGCAGCAGCGCGAAACAACTGGTATAGCTACACATCTTCAAAGAACACCCCAAAATGAAGATGGACTATTTGAGTTCAGATTGCCAAGCACATACAGGACTGGCCTTTTTGCTGGCTGAGTTATTAAAACTTCTAATCGTACCCATACCATATCTTAAGCCAACTTGGGAAAATTCCTGGACAAAGTCATCCAGAGAGCCTTACTGTTTGTCGAGTTACTGTTTCTTGGCTGATTTTCAATAGTCATAACAACTCTTTGCTATGTTTACAGCCAACAAGATGGCCTAGTGGGTAAAGGTGATTGACATGCAGTCCTGACAACCTACCTTCAATCCGGGAACCCACAGTGGAAGAGGAGAACTAACTCCTTAACCCCGAGAGTAATTCTTTGACTTCTGCACGTATGCCAGAGCATGATCGCTTCTGTTTTCAGTCAGGCCCATCACACACACACACACACACACACACACACACACACACACACACACACATGCATAAACACATGCATGCATGCATGCACACACACATACACACACATGCATGCACACAGGCACACGCACTTGCTCCCTCATGCACTCACACACTTATAATAACAATCATTTTTAAATTAAAATTTTCTGGACCATATTTTAAGTTAGAAAAGCACAAATGTACAAAACTTTTAGATTAATCTTTAATTATAAGGGTACAAATGTTAATGCATGGAAGGAGAAGATCCTGAGGAAAAAAACAAAAGATAATATTAACTATTGAACATTGGACAGTCCCATCTCAGCTGCACGTAAAGGAAGCTGCCTGTGGAAAGCCCACACATCTAGACCTGTGGGTTAAGAGCGAGACCTATAACCCAGTATTTCTAACTGTTTTACATGCAATAAACCACCTTGTATTCATAACTGCCCTAATTGCCTCCAACAAGTGGAGCTCACAACCTTATGGGAATTTATGTCCTTAACCTCCAAGTTACCCTAACTTGAATATATAAAATCTGTCTCTTAATGGCTTAATGACCTTCGCCAAGGCAACTGACTCCTTTGCATGTTTGTTGCTTTGGTAAAGGACTACTAACCCTGGTGGCCTGTGAGGACTGAGAAGAAAGCTGCACGCAGTGAATGCTTGATACGTTCTGTTCTGAGTCTTCACTGTGATTTCATTTGACGTTTACATCACTTGTAAAAAAGGAATCTGAATTCCAAAATCTGGAAACTACTCAGTGAAACTAAACAAGACAGTGGTTAGAAAGTTTATATACACTCTGTCTAATTCTATCCAAATTCTGCTGAAATGATGATTTTTCTTTTCCACCTTGAAACAGATCACAGGGGTTGGAGCTAGCAGGCAGCTGGGCATGTGTTCAAGGATGCTTCTCACGAAGATGGTCCTTCCTTTAGCCTTTTACGGGTTTGGGTCTCTTTTGACCACACACACACAGGTACACACACACACACATATATACACACACATACACACACACACGTGTGCACATGCACACATGGTTTCTTGTTACCAACCTCCTCTTTTGCTGCCTGCTACAGCTCCTAGGATGAGGTGGCAATCTTGTAGAATAAATCTATGTAAGAAAGAGGTTAGGCCTTCCTAAAAATGACTAACTATAGCGCAGAGATGACTGCTGAACCACATTAGAGCCCTCTGCAGAATATCTAAGAATCCAAACTGGTAGAAACTGGGCTTTTAGCCATGAGGTTACATCAGGTGTCATGTGTTATGGTGTTGTTCTTGTGACCTGGGATCTCAGACAAGCACCAAATCTTGTTCTTCTCTTCTGCTGGCCCCTGGACTGGGGAAGCTTGCCCACTTAGCCCCATTGAAGAACACAGAAAACTACTGTTGACTCATTGCCTTGCAGCATGTACATGCGCAGTCCTGACTGTGGCAAAGGAGGGTCACTGGGCATTGCTACCTTCTTCATCTCTGGCCAGATTCCTTCCTTAGAAATGAGTGACCAAGAGGGGATCCGGAGACAGACAGGTCCTGACCACAGCTAAGGAGCTTCTTCCTGAAGTATTGTAGGAGTCTGAGGAAGCAGAAGGAGTCTGAGGAGTGCGGAAGCAGAGAGACAGAGGCAATGTTTGTGTCAAGGTTTTGAACCACAT